GCTCCTAATCATCTCCTTGAGAGATTTGATCATTATTCTACCCGACGCGATACTTCGAACCAGAAGCCAAATCCTCCTGGAGTCAGTCCAAATGACCAGTTACAAAAAGATTTTACGTTGGAATTGAATCAGCTGGTTTGTAAGTTCTCAACTCCAGTCTGAACCTATTACATATGTAGGGTCATGGCCACTGACCCTACCTGTCATGATATTAGTAAAGCACCTCGAAAAAGTCGATCCCAAGCTCATAAAACCCCGAGTCCACAACCATCCCAAAAGGCGCAACTGTGATGTTGAATTGCGAACTACAAGCTTCCCCAATGGTATCAAGCTTGCTGTGCATCAAACAAGCGACTCCAAGGTTACCGCTGAGATGCTCTCAGCGGGCCCTGCAGCCATCATGAATGATAAAGACCTTATGCAGACTTGGTACCAGGACATATTAGCTCGACGTTACACGGTCAAAGCCGAACCTCCCGCTGCCACCAACAAGACCCAATCCATGTTGTAGTGCACTTATTTGTGGTTGAAAGTACTTAATAAAGCCCTCATTTGACACACTTGATATTCATGCATTTGTCATAGTACCGTTCGGTCATTTAGATTACTTGCTCAGCAGAATATGAGCATCATACTACCATCCGTGATTCGAGCAAATGCCCCGTCGAAGTACAAGCTGAGGCAGCCCCGACAACCGGGCTGCATGGCCCCACCCCGTGTCACTTTCGTGTCAGTTAACCTAAGTAAATACAACCAACAATTCCTCACCAACCTCTAGCCAATCTCACCAAACTTGCCCAATCTCACCAACCCTAACCCGAAAGCAATCATTCCTCAAAGTGAATCAACCCAAATTGGCTTTTGACACAGGTTCGATATACGTATAGAGAAACCATCTTTCCAATTTGGTCCGATGTTCCTACTTGATCTCGATTCTTTATAAGTTTGGCTTTACTGGTATATCTCTCACTCTGATTGATAACTTTTATTTAGGATGCTCAAAACTTCATTCCATCCACGGATCGATCCACGGTGTACTAGGTCATATGGTTGGGTGTTGATCATATCAGAACACGTGAGTCTCTTAATTGGTGGATTAGAAAAAGTTATGCTTCGCTCAACTTGTTTCATCAACCATCCAAAATAACTTTCCGTTTCCAATCAAGCAAACCATCTTCGATGACGGATAAGATTTAATTACTGCCCTCATTCATATTACTGCAAACGCCTGAATAATCAACAAATATCCAAGGTTTGTTTCATTTCTCTACGTTCTTATATTTTCCGAAAAGATATCTCTTCATGATCAATCAATGCCTCACGATTCATTTCTCTTGGCCGGATCCCTGAGAATGATTCATGGGAATGAAGTCAAAGCACCCGGATGTGCTTGGACTTCATTAATGCACCCAATTGATCTCTGCTGGCTCCATGCTGACCACCTCATTCTTGCGCTTCATCACCCCCACACATAGGCCGAAAACTCGCCCATAATGTCAAAGTAATCATAAATCAATTTGTGCGTGCTTGCCTCCTTTCATATTTATCAAAATCAACCTACGCTGATAAGCAACGCCTGCCTTGATGTCATTTGAAACCTGATCATACAAGATATAGCAAATTGAATCGCGACACGACAACCAATTCATGCCGGTGTGGATCATATCGGAACTTGTGCACTTGTTGAGTGCCAAACCAAAACCAACAGCCCTTGCCTTATGTTCATTGACCAAAATCATCAAAATGACTGACTAACCCTTTCATCTTTGGTTTAGACGTAAAACAAAAAGTGAATCAATTTGTGGAAATTGTAATCAAGTCGTGATGTAGAATCAAATTTATATTTTTCACTTGAAATCGTTCATCCCACTTGGATTGGTGGTTTGTGTAGAAAAGTTAGTTCTACACCTTGAGTCAAGGATCATCAAAACTACCCCAAAGTCTTTGTTTACAGCTCAAAGTAAGTGATCGATTGTTACAATAATTGCTTGATTGTCTATTGATTTTGCTTGTTTGTTTTTTATCTTTTGGTTAGAGGTTTGAATATCAAGTTCAAGGTAACAGTGTAAAGTCCGATCGACTTGTTCAGTCTCCACTTTGTCAGAATTTGACCCTACGTGGTTAATCCCTTAAACTGTTGATCCTAGGAACTGACTATCCTGTTCTAACGGGTTTTTCAGTTTCAAAATGCGTTTTCATTTCAAAGATCAATCTGCTGATACCATAGTCAACCTTGATGTTCAAACTTCAATGTTCGATTTTGGGAAACATGTATGAAACTCAACGTACGTAGTAAAGTTAAAGGTGAGTGTTTGACTCTGAATTGCTAAAGATTGACAATTGAGCAGTTGATATCCAATTGTTTGTTTAATTTTTACGACTTCGGGGTGAGTAACTTGACCACATCACAACCTCAAGGTTTGATCGAAGCCACTGGAGTGATACCCAGCGTCAATCAG